CCTACATAGTAAGGGAGCACATGTTATTTTTGTCATCAAAGGTTAGACCTGTTTATGAATAAATGTGATTTTCTAACAGAGGAAATCCTCGGGCAGGCGAACACGGAGCAAAATGGAAGGACAAAGTTGCACCATCAGGAAGGTCAACTAAATGACTGTTGACAAACAACTGGGATGTCAGAGTCCATAGCAGGCCATGCTCCCCATGCCAAGACAGCCAGCCCGGCCACTCTGGACCATAGCTGACAACAGTATTCAACGGGAGGACTTTGGAAATAGGCCTTACATATTCACACACCTTCTCCAGACTGCTTTAAACAAAGTAGCAGGGCAAAAGGTTTTGTAAGTCACTCTAATTTGCAACAGGGGCTGAGAACTTTGGATCTAGACCCATAAATGAACATGTGCAAGTGCTGAGGTCATTGAATGAACCATTGTAGGTGGTGCCTGAGGCCCCCAGGGTATGACTAAGGTTACCGGTCCTTGGAAAGCCTGTGATCTGTTAGAAATGTAGAACCAGAGACCCCACCTTACCCAAAGTCTACATTTTAGCATCACTAGATGTTTTTAATAAACATTCAATTTTCAGAAACACTCCTAAAAAATAGATGTTTTTCCCAAGTGAAGAAACAATACTCAGTATAATTCATTTTTTAAAATAATTTTAATGGTTATTTATCATTGAGAGACAGAGAGAGACAGAGCATGATCATGGGAGGGACAGAGAGAGAGGGGGGGACACACAATCTGAAGCAGGCTCCGGGTTCTGAGCTGTCAGCACAGAGCCCAACATGGGGCTCAAACTCACAAACCATGAGATCATGACCTGAGCTGAAGTCGGATGCTCAATCAATTGAGCCATACAGGTGCCCCAATACTTCGTATAATTTAGATATCAGATGATAGTCACCTTTCCCTTCAATAGTTAACTTAAATTGGTATAATGTAATAAATTCTAGAATGCAATAAATTCTAGATCCTGAAGCTATGTACATACACAATTAACTCCATAGCAGCCATTCTCAAAGTGTGGTTCTGGGGTAGGTGTCCTTACATCAACTGGGAAGATACTAGAGATGTTCATTCTTGGAGCATATGTAGACCTGCTGGTGGTGGGATCAACAGTCTGTTCAGAATGTCCTCCTAGGGATTCTAATGCTGCATGTTCATGTTTGAGAACCACTAATCCATAAAATCATTATAATACTGTAACTAATCAGAATATGGAAATTAAAAATATATTTACTTCTTTTTATTATTGTTTTTTTTAAATCTTTATTTTTAAGAGAGGAGAGAGAGAGAGACAGAGAGAGAGCAAGCGAGCGAGCAGGGGAGGGGCAGAGAGAGAGGGAGACACAGAATCTTGAAAAAGGCTAAAAGGCTCCCGGCTCTGAGCTGTCAGCACAGAGACTGATGTGGGACTCGAACTCACAGACTGTGAGATCATGACCTAAGCCGATGTTAGACGCTTAACTGAAAAATTTTTAAAAGACAGATGAACTAAACTATTATACTGACTTTAATTTTCTTAAAATGAGATAAAAGAAATTAAAAAATAGTATATTGATAATAATATTAGAAAATGAGGTGAGACAACATCAGTGGATAGGATATTTTATGGATCTCCTTGATGATAGAAAAGCACATACACATCCCAAAGTTGAAGTCAAAATGAAATCCTGAGAAATCCCAGAATAAACAAATAAAGAGAGTTATTCTATGGCAATACTTAAAATAATTAAGGACATTTATTTTTAGTTTCAGAACTGTTGACACATTCCTCTCATCTTCATTAAAATAGTGAAATTTGATAGATGCAAAATTCTATTTTCTTAAATCTCATTGGCTAATGATCTACTGAGGAGAGCTTATAGTTAGGAAGTTATTGATATAACTAAGAAGAGTAGGTTTTGAGTTAATTATGAGCTCATGAACCACTACAGAACCACTTGGGCTCTCTCAAAAAAGGATAAACATTAAAAAATAAATAAAATAAAATAAAATAAAATAAAATAAAATAAAATAAAATAAAATGTTTACTTGATATACACAAGTAAAAAGTACAACCAAAAAAATGAAACCTGTAATCCAGGTTTGGCCCCGAGGTATTGAGTGTAACAAAGTGGTAAACTCCACAAACATGAGCTAAATGTAAAGATCGCCAAGCTCGGGCTAAGAGGCCCAGCAACAGGAACTGCTATATTGGTAGCAATGCTTAGGGAAAAAAGAAAAAGAAACAGAAATGGAGAACTATGACACCAGAGTTCTGTGAGGGGGAAAAAATGGGAAGAACAATGTTTTCAATAAGAATTCTAGAATGGCTAGAGCTTCAAGCTCTCTGAATGTATCATATTCAAGGTGAATATAAAATGATTAAATTGCTAAAAAACCAAAGTTGAGCACTTCTAAAAAATACCTGGCCAATATTCTTCTGAAGTGTCAAGGTCATGGAAAACAAGGAAAGATGGAGAAACTCTCATAAATTCGAACAGACTGAAAACAATTCGTTCCTGAAAAGAAAAAAAAAAAAGGAACAATTGTGAAATTCAAATAGAAAATGGAGTTTGTTTTGTAGCATTGAACTGAAGTTAATTTCATAGTTTTGTGAAACTTAACCATAGTTACATAACTTAATAACATTAAGATAAGATAACTTTAAGATAAGAAAGATAAGGGAACTCTGTATAGGTCAGAGTTTATCAATGCCCACAGTACTGACGTCTATGTTCAAATCATCCTCTGCTGTGGGGCCTCTCTTGTAAGCTGTAGGATGTTTAATGACATTCCTGGCCACTACCCCTTAGATGTAAGTTCCCTACTTGAGGACCAGTGACTCACATTAATGTTTAATGTCAACTAACCAAAACATATCTGTTATCTCTTCACGTGCGAGAAAGAGGAGTAATAGATATATTCAATGTCAATGAAAATAACTAATCAACATGTTGATTTACCGGTGAAGGTACATTTACAGGTGATTAACTTGTGGGCCTCACCACTAGAGAGACTGGTTTTTCGGAGAGTATTTAACCACAAACCAAAATGATGCTCACAGGATTGTACAGCAAATAGGATGTGGGAAACCCCGTAGATACCGGGCATTAAAATGCATTTCCAGAAATCTATATTCAGTTGCATTAACAGTCCACTCTGATGATAATGATATTACCATCTTAAGAGGCTTCTTAGCTATAGAAGTCATTGCTATCGTTATCAGGAAATGTCTTATGAAGAAGAAAATTATAGCATAGTAATTTCCTGTTTTCAAAATCATATTCTGAGGGATCATTACCAAATAAGGAATGGGGAAGAAATGAACATAAATTAGCGAGTGGGAACTGCTGCAGATCTCATCCTCGAGTACCCCTTAGCTGACAGCACACTTACCTCACCAACAAGTGACTTCTTTCCAAACTGCGGAAACCTTATGAAGCCGTCTCAGTAGTGCTCCTTTTAATGTCCTCAACATTCACCTGTTCACCTTTCAGATCCAAAATGCACCTGCCGCTTGCTCTTGGATTTGATACTTACTTTGCCAGCCTGTACTTTTCTGTTCCTTTACTGGGTAGCTCTGCAGGCATGTGATTTTGAGGAAAACGTTCTGGAGAACAGTTGTTTTTCACCACCTTCAACCTCCACCACTATATGTATGCTGTAGTCTTCAAACACTGTTTTTGTAGTCAGATGCTTTTCACCGTTAGTCAGAAACGTGAGTCACTGCCGTTGTAGACAATGGATTACCAGTAACTATGAAAAAAAAAAAAGAGAAATTGCATTAACGTTCAGAGAGACTAATATCTGCATACGAATGTATGAATGTACGAAAGCTTAAATTACAGGAGAGTCGTCATAAAACCAATGTTGTCAGGGCTAGAACGTATCGTGGTCTACCGTTTCCTTAAGAGGCAAGCTACAGAAAGTAACATTAACCACGATTCTAGAAGAACAAAATATGCATCGCATTTACTGAAGCCAAAACCAGTTATTTATTTTTCCTTAAAAGGACATTCAGGTGAATTAGGTTTAGTTTTTACGATAATGAAAGAGAGTGGCCATCAATACCGTATCAGTAACTTTTATGAACTGCAGGAATTATTATACCTCTTCCCTCTAAAGTCAAGTACCAAAATAGTCACAATCCTTCTGGGGGAGATGTGAACTGGCACACACGTTGTGGAGAACAATCTGGTACTTTCTCAAGAAGTTAAACAGTTACGTTTGACTCCATGATTCTGTGCTAGCTATACACCCGAGAGAACAAAAACATTTGTCCATGTAAAACTTTATATATGCATGTTCATAACAGCACCATTCATAGTATCAGAAGACTGGAAACAACCCCAATGTCGATTAACTGGCCACGAATAAACAAAATGTGGTCTTTCTATACCATGGATGGGTGCTGGACCATAGCAAGAGTGAAATTCTGCTGCATGCTGAGGCACGGAAGGATCGGGAAAAGAGTATGCTAAGCAAAAGAGGCCAGTCACAAAGGACTACATATTATATAACCCCACTTATATAAAAGCCGACAATAGGAAAATCTGTATCTAGAGAGAAAATGAATTACTGATTGCTTTGTGGCTCGGGAAAGGGGTTGGTAGCTGGACTAGCTATAGAATACATGATTTGCTTCTGAAGCAATAAAAATGTTTTCAAGTTGACTATGGCGATGAGTGCACGCATATGTGAAGGTACCAAAAGCCACAGAAATGTACACTTTGGGTGAATTGTATGATATGTGGATGATATCACAATAAAAATGCTGGGGGTGGGTGGTGAGTGGGAGTGGGGATCGTGAGCTCCTAGGCCTCTCTTCACAGCCAAACTCTTGCTACCGGCAGCGGGGAGGACAGAGGCTGGAGGCTATGACCCCCTAGGGCTGCCCCTGCGCCAGCAGACAGCTCCCGCATCCCCTCAGCTGGCCCCACGCGCCCTCGGGGTTGAGGACCGTCCCGCGCCCAGGCCCGCGCGCGCTTTCGTGCGCCCACATGCCAACCGTCATCGGAGTCCCAGGGGCTTCGCCGGCAGCTGGGTCCTGCGGCTTTGGGAACTTCTGGAAGCAGAACCCCCGCCCCGACGCCCGCTCCCATGGGCAGCTACTTGAGCACGCCCAGGCCTGCGCCGCCACCCCTCGCCCAAGCGCAACCGAAACCCTGGCGCAGGGCCTCCCAGACAGAGGACGCTGGGCGCCGCGTCCGCACCGGACCCCTCCCCCGGGTGCCGCTGAATTGGGATCCCTCCAGCCCGCGGAGGGTGGTCACCGAGGCCTGGAGGCGCTTTCCCGCCAAGGCTCCCCCGGAGACCGTCCTGGGGCCGGATCTCTCCAGCGCCTGGGACAGTTACATGAAGCGGTGGCTCTGGAGTGCCCGCCACCCGAAACGGATCTGGAGCCCCGTGACCGTCAAGATCACGCCCCCTGAGCGCAGGGGGAGCCCCTGGGCGTCTCGGGTGCAGGGGTGCGGCGCCTGCTCTGCGGGGCGCCCACCCTCCCAGGGGCGCCCAGACCCGTGCGCCAAGGAGACGGTGCTGAGGGCCCTCAGTCAGTGCCCGAAGGGGAACAGGCGGTTTGACGGGCCCTTGTGGTTTGAGATCCCGGAGGGCGCCAGCAGGAGGCGCAACCCAGAGCCCGGGCCGTCCGCCTTTAAGCCCCTGATCAGAAATGGAGTGGTCCCTTCCTTCGTGCCCCGGCCAGGGCCTCTGATCAGCCGCCTTCACGCTTGGAGCTGCAGTGTGCACCGGGAGGACACGGACCTCGGGCCTCGGGTCCGGCCTTCCCTGTGTGCCGGCCACCCCACCGCGCGGACTGCGCCAGTCCAGGACGCGGAGCCTCAGCCTCGGAGCTGGGGAAGGAGGCCGCACCCCTGGGGCCTCACGCCTTCCTCCAGGGCCTAAGAGCAGGGCCTGGGGTGTCTCCTTCGCCCCCGAGGGAGGTTGCCCAGCTCTCAGGCTCCCTTGATTCCTAAGAGTCAAAGCCTCCTGAGACTCACGCTTGTATATTTACCCTCAGCTCGCTGACCCCTTGCTCTACCTCTGCATGGGACCCCGACACAGTACTGCTGCACCCCCAGACCCGCCTGCCCTCACTCGGGAGATCCCGCTCTGAAGACTGTTGATAAGTCCCCTGCTTCCCCCTGCCTGCCTTTTCCCTTCATTTTCTCGAAGGTACTTTCCTTCCCCACCTTCGCTCTTTGCCCAGCTTGTATAAATAGTTGATCTCATTAAAATAATATTAATATTTTAAAAAGGTCTCTTTCATGTAAAAATAAAGGGCAAATGTGCTCCAGATTGCAAGCGCAAGGGCGAAGCCCCTGCACTGGTAATAACCTGTATTTATTCGAGTCCAGTACAGCCAGAAAGTGGTGAGAGACAAGATAATATGAGGACTCGTGACAGGAAGCAATATAAAGCCGGAAAGAGTTTGAGTTCTATTCTGGGAGCCACAGGTTTTAGGCAGAGGAAAGGGTCATCAGGTTGATCGGTTTTAAACCCATCTTTCTGGCTGTGGTGTGGAGAGTGTATTATCCAAAGGCAGCGATTCAAACAAACAAGAGGTGCCCCATGGTCTATTTCAAGCAAAAGGTGAGGGTGGTTTGATCTGACGGGGAAGGGAGGCAGGTGAAAAGTGCGTGTGAATTTGGGGTGTGTCTTGAAGGTGGGTGTTTTGGGGTTCGCTCATGCACGTGACAGTGTCGTTTGTTGAGATGGTAAATGTCAATGAGGAACGTAACCAGAGATGTCTAAGTTGGGGAAGGTTCCTAAGTACACACATTTGCCATTCCCGTGAAATTGTCATCTGTGCCTTTGAAAACATGTGCCTGGCACTTGGTGGAGAGGTCGAACCCAGGAAATAATGGTAGAAGTCATGAACACACAGGCCCATTTATATACATGGTGCTTAAAGCCAGGGACTGCACGGGATCGCCTCCACAGAAAATAGATGGTGATGAACCCTGCCGTGGCCCCGTGTTTAAAGGGTCAAAGAGAGAAGGAGAGTTCTAGAAGCCTGAGGAAACACAGCCAGGGAGATGGGAGAAAAGTCAGAAGCAGCAGGGACACCAAAGGGAGAACTCTAGAAAGTGGACTTTGTCACCCACAATTGTTTTAGAGAGTGGGAGGTAAAGGCTGAATTAATTAGGAAGTCACTGGGAGGGGCAGATGTGGAGGCAGGGTAGATACTGAGTCAGTGAGGTATCGCCGGCAAAGCAGGAATGTTGGAGGCAGCTTCAGTTTATTTTGAAATTTTCCTTCAAGAAAAGATAGGCAGAGGCGCCTGGGTGGCTCAGTTGGTTAAGCCCCGGGCTCTTTCATTTCAGCTCAGGTTACGATCTCATGGTTCATGGGTTCAAGCCCCCCGACAGGCTCTGTCTGCACTGACAGCATGGAGCCTGCTTGGGATTCCCTCTCTCTTTTTCTCTCTCTCCCGCTTCCCTTACTCACGTGTGCACTTTGTCTTTCTTGGTCTCTCAAAAATACACTAAAAAAAAGGATGGGGAATATGTTCAGCCCTAAAGAGATCCTTGGGAAGATCTGGAAAGATGGACGGTTAGGTGCTGGTGGCAGATGGGATCGCGCTTGATCCTCCATCAGAGCATGGGCTGGGGGCTGTGGCTCTAGTGTTCTGCCAGAGAGGTGGATCTGGGACCCAGGATGACTTACTTCTCTGTCTTCTGCTCTACCAGGGAATCACAATGCAAGACGGCATGAAAGAGGGCAGGAGGGAAATATTTATGCCTTGACAAAACAGCTGAACATGTGAAAGAGAATTCTCCGAGTGGGAAAGAGTGGGGGGAATGTAGGCATTATGAGAAAAAATGTTGGAGTGTTCATTTCGGGGTTGGGTTCTTCAAATGAAATGGGAAACCAAGAAAAATGAATCATTAGTCTTTTTTTACATTGTATTTTAGCTGAACTAGTATAAATGATGACTGAGGGGGTACGTGGGTGGCTCAGTCGGTTAAGGATTCGACTTCAGTTCAGGTCATGGTCTAGCAGTCTGTGAGTTCAGGCCTCGCATCTGGCTCTGTGCTGACAACCCAGAGTCCAGAGTCTGCTTTGGATTCTGTGTCTCTCTCTCTCTCTCTCTCTCTCTCTGCCCCTCGCTAGCTTGTGCTCTGTTTCTCTCTGTCTCTCAAAAATAAATAAATGTTTAAAAACTTTTAATAAAAAAATGACGATCGAGTACACAATTGTTTTTAACCATTATATTTTAACCGTTTAATTTATATTAAGTATTATAGTCCAAAATAATAAGGAGGAAAGAAGCAAAGGAGTTAAGGTGTGTATTAGACAGGGTTCTCCTGAGAATCAGAACCAGGGTGTGAGTATGTGTGTTCCTGGGTTCACCCATGGAGGGAGACGGGTTGATTCATTACAAAGACTTGACTCATGTGGTTATGGGGCCTGAGGAGTCCCAAGATTTACAGACCAAGTCTCAAACCAAGAGTGAAGGCAAGAGAAGATGAATGTCCCAGTGGGGAGAAAGTCAAGCAGGGAGAGAAATCTTTCTTACTCAAACTTTGTCTTCTACTCGGGTCTCCCAAGCCTTTGTTGAGGTTGACCCACGTTGGGGAGGGCCATCGGCTTTATGTAGTCTACGAATTCACATGTTAACCGCATCTGGAAACCTGCTCACAGACACCCCCAGAAACAGAGTTTAACCAAGTATGCAGGCACCCTAACACCCAGTCAGGTTGTCACATAAAATTAACCATACCAGGCTGTTTTGAAGTGTTTATTTATGTATTTATTTATGTTGAGAGAGAAAGAGAGAGAGAGAGAGAGAGAGAATCTTAAAGAGGCTCTCTGCTCAGCATAGAGCTCTAATGCAAGGCTCAGTCTCATGAAGGCAAGATCATAACCTGAACCAAGATCAAGAGTCAGACGCTCAACCTGCTGAGCCACCCAGGCGCCCCTGACAAGAGTCCTTTTAATTTGGACTGTGGATTCAAACTGGTTAAGAAAGAAATTGATAAGGGAGGGAGACTGAATCCTATGGGAAAAACTATCAGAAGTCTTAATGGCAGGCATCGAGGGTGTGAGAATGAGATGAGCGAACAGAAATCTATCAGTGTCATAGAGGTGGTTGAGAAGCTTGGTGGCTGAAGATTGAACATGCTATGAATAGTGACCAGAGCAGGATGAAGGGTGGAGATCATGGGAGAGGAATTCAAATTTTTATGAAGGCAGCACGTGGTTTCTAACAGGAGTTTCAAAGTAGTGGGGATTTTTTAAAGAGCAAAGAGAAGTAATAGTCTGAAAGGAGCCAATGTGAGCCAGAAGTGCACCTGCTCTTTGGTCCACACACATACCAGCTGAGGTATATATATATATACCAGCGGAGGCCAAGTGAGGCCTCTGCCCTCTCATCACAGAGGCCCAGCAATATGAGACATACAGAGACAAATGAGTCCCCGGGGCAGACCAGAGATTCCTAAAGCAGATGTGTAAGAATTTAATATATGCTAATGGTAACATTTAAAATCTGTGTGAAAGGGGCACCTGGGTGGCTCAGTCGGTTAAGCCCCTGACTGCTGGAGGCCGAGCCGGCTCTGGCAGGTCCAGGAGTCCCTGAAGGATGGACAGTGTTGGCGAGAGAGAGAGAGAGCCCCGAGATTCTTTCTGATCACCAGGCAGGCATCTCTGTCCTGTCAGTTTTGGTGTCTTTATTTAAAGGTTCAGCAACAACATAAGTCAGAGAAAGGAATTTCTATAATGGGAGGCCTTTTGCGATAACAAGTTTTTGAAATTCTGCAGAATTATCCCAGTTATAGTGAATTTACAACCAAGAAATTAACAGGATGCTCTTAGTGAAAAACAGGAGAACATATAAGTTAAATTGTATATAGATAAGCTAGGAGTCATTCTGTCTGGCTCTCAAGAGGATGGATGTTTCTGAATTGGTTTGTTTGTGGAAACTATCATGGGGGCCCTAAATGTGTCAGTCTTAGCACCTGGGTTTATGTTTTAGCTACTCTTATCTATCCTCATCCCAGCTGCCAGTGTAAGGGAGGGTGTTTGTGGAATGTAGGCCTTGAGGAAGGGACTGCTATGCTTCACCAATTAGCAAAGATATATGTAGTAACTGTGTTCTGCTCTTATCTGTACCTTAACCCCAAAATAGGCTCTTCGTCTCAGGGCCAGGTTCAGTTGTAACTCTTGTGTTCTTAACCCCCTTTATTATGCAAGTCTTGGGTCTGCAAGGCCCATAGGAAGAGTCTTTTGACAATCACCCACAGAGCTTTCATCTAAAGTCTCTTTTGTAAAGGCAGGAATATGCTTTTCCTTATGAGGTATCTGTGTTCAGAATATGGGTCTGGTATAGAATATTGTGAGGCCTGGTCAATACCAGCAGGTTCATTTCCAACATGAGCCAGTTGTAGCAGAAGGAGATACCAGTTTTTGTTTCTCATGGCAGGAGCTGCAAACACTGGTATTTCCTTGCTGTGACTGCCATCCAGAGAGGCCTGTGCGGCTCCTGGCACCTGACTTGGGCTCAGGTCATGATCTCACGGTCCATGGGTTCAAGCTCCGTGTCAGGCTCTGTGCTGACAGGTGCTGACAGCTAGGAGCCTGGAGCCTGCTTTGGATTCTGTGTCTCCTCTCTTTTCCCCTCCCTCACTCATCCTCTGTCTCTCTCTCTCTCTCTCTTTCTCTCTCAAAAAGAAGTAAACCTTAAAAAAATGGAAAAAAAAGAATCTGTGTGAAAATGATTAACTGATAAAACATTGAATTGAAATTATCAGCTTCTTAATTAGGAAATAGAACGCAGCCTTCTTTCTCTTATGCAAAACACACATGTGAACATCACAACTGCAAAATAGTTGAAAATTCGAAGAAAACATTTTGTTTCCCAGGAGTGTAGTACTTAAAGTTTAATTACACACACAATACATTTTGAAAATTTAAGCTTTATAGGTAATGTTAAAAACCCTCCACCAATCTCCTCTTTGGGCATTCTTAAGGAGACTAAAAACTCAAAACCATACAAGAAAGGTTTGTAGTAGCTAATACTTTAAAAATTTAGCCTGTAATAGAACAAAGACTTCAAATGCAAGTGACAAAGTTGGAAGTGACATTTGTAACCTGCATAGTGGATCACAGATTGCTTTTCCACAAATACAAGGAACCACTAAATATCAATAGAAAGAAAGAAAAGAAAGAAAGAAAGAAAGAAAGAAAGAAAGAAAGAAAGAAAGAAAGAAAGGAGGA